AGAAGCTTTTGTCCATTGTAAGTTGTCAAAATGGATATCTTATTTGCAGGATATCCTAGTAGGCGCATGTATATGTAGACATTGACAATATATTCAGCTTCTCCCTCATTTTGGTAGAACCAAGGCGAAGGAGCAGTCTCGCCCTTACCATGATAATCTGGCACATCTACTAGTTGATATTCATAGGAGAATCCAGCATTTGCTCTATGAAATATTGAGTCCTCTTTAACGTAAGGAAGGTCTCCCAAATCTCTATACCTCCAGTTGTAAAGTTTTGCAATGCTTGGCCGAGCTCTACCCTGGGCATTAAGTTCAATATAAGGGATACCAAGACGAACAAACCGTGTGAAGAGACTCTGGTCCATGTGACTGTACTTTTGGAAAGCCATGTTCTTAACTACAGGAGGCAATTGATGATGGTCACCAATTAAAATGCAGCGTTTCAGCCGTGCATAACCATCTTCCTGCCTCTGCAGCAACATTGGGATGAAAGTTTCAATCTCCAAAATCTGGGCACTTTCTTCCATTAGCAAGTTGTCATACTTGAAACCCAATTGAAGAAAGTCCTTTCTCTTTAAAGCTGCATGAGTGCAGGTCATTGCAACAATCTTTGCCTGCTTTGTCATCAAGTAATTTGCTCGATCAGCTGTTGACTTGAGTAACTCGAAAGCCCTGCATTCTTCAAGTTCTTGGAACATAGTTTTGAGATGACGAAAGCACCCTTTAGCTGCCCGCATGTCTTCCTCAAATGACTCACCAATAAAAACAGGGTGAGGTGCGTTGGAAAAGAACTCCTTAAAGGGGAAACGATCCTTTACAAAAGATGGTTTATCCTCATTTCCAGCACAAGCAGCAAGAAATTGCTCCCAGCGCGAATACACATGAAGCAACCAAAAATACCCAGCAGTTTCACAGGTATAACCCACATCCTCGGGCAATTGGAGAGATCTTGCCAGCCTCTCCACTTCACTAAGCAATTCCAGTCGCCGTACTAGCATTGCATTCACACGGCCCTGTCGGCTGAAGTCGAGATCAGTTGCAAGCTCTTGTTCACCTTGACCAAGTCGAAGAAGATAGCGTGCAGGCACATCCCTCTGAAATATCAAAGCATGTATTAGTAAGTATACAAATGAAAAAAATGAATAACTTGAAAGGTCCATTTACTTGTATGAAATTTGTATATTAACAACGAATACCTGCATTATCTTCTCAAAAAGGTCATTAAGAGCCTGGTTTGAATGAGTAATTATCAACGTCCTCTGAGTAGGGCAACTATGATAAAGAACATTCAAGATCTGCACTGCTGTATCAGTCTTTCCCGTTCCAGGAGGACCCACAACCATTGTTAGTCCAGGCTGAACACCTGAAATGATTGCTTCAACCTATATGAAAAGAGAATTTCCTAGATCAAGCCCTTGGTTAAACATGGAGTAAATAAACAGAGGTGATTGCTCATCAATACTATTTCTATAAT